CGCTTTCATTCTTTTCATTCTGATCTCGGGAAAAGATCGAGGCTGTGGGATCGGCACGAAGTTTCGCGGGTGGAACGACTGGCTATTTTTTTTTTTCAATGCCAGAACGCTTGAAAAAAAAAATCCAGCCGTCTTCGCTGAATATCAGCGAAAGCGAACCTTTCGTTTTCCTTCAAAATCGTTCGCCTTCAGGTCGACAGACAACACTCGGTGAAAAATTAAGTAGGCATCGATTTGATTTGCGTGAGTTCTGCCGTTTTCAGCGTCAATCCTGGAAACTTTCCATCAAAATATTTTCTCGATGGTGCTTTGCCGAAACATAAAAGTTTCTTGAAATTGCTGAATGCGCGTCTGATGGGATCTTCATGCGTATGTCGAATAGGCTATCAACGAGTACACGTAAGCCTATGGGAGGAATATATTTGAAAATCTGTGTTTTAAGAATTCGGAGTGGTGTTCATAGTTCTATATCCCGTGACCCTCGTTTTAAATGCCATTTGGTCTGTTCCCCAGAATATCCAGAAATGCTTTCAAATTTCCTGCATGTGTAAACATTTACGGTGGGGGAGCTCGAATAGCCGGAGTGCAAGACAGTTTGAAGGAGAGCAGATCTGAGAAAATCGGGTCCGACACGGTCTTCTACACGCCCGGGCAAGAAAATCCGATCCAAGATGTCGGAAAAGTCGACGGCGTCCAGCAGCTCGTCCGAGTCGAGTGGTTCGACCGGCGACACTACCTCGGACAGCGAGTCGCTTCCGGCGGATCTTCCCGTCGAGAGGAAAGACGGGACGCCCGTCACGTCACGTCCTGCCGTTACGCCCGAAGACGTTCCAGTCGTGGGCGGGAAATGCGAGGCGATCGAGTCGAGCGTCGGGTCCGCTTCGAGCACGGCTCGGCGAACCGGGCCCGGCCTCGCCCAACCGGAGTCTTCGGCGGTGCCAGCCGAAGTTTCCCGAGGCGTCTCCGACCCCGAGTACCCAGTCTACCGACGGGAAGATGTCTTCGGTGAGAGCGACCTCTATGGAGCGACACTGGGTCCGTCGGATATAAATTTGGCTGCGTTTTCTCTCTCGTCCGTCGCGTCTCCCGGAGTTGTAAGTCGAGAATCTGCCAGAATGGCAGTAAAGACTGTGGACTCCCTCGCGGCCGTGAAAGTACCCACGGCCGAGGAGAGCCTCACGGATATATTTTCCG